TACTTACTTTTCTCAAGATAATACCAAGCTGTTTGGAAATGCAACTATGCTATGAAGGGCTTAAATTTGGTAATGTATCAACAGTCATAGTTTAAAATGGGAAATAATAGCCAATCTAGAAAGACACATAGAAAATGAACTCTAGAGCTTTTAACAGCCTAAGACAGCAAAATGCACTAACACACATACATTAGACTATACCCTCAGACAAGGTTCTTGAAGCAATTAATCCATGCTAATTTTTTTGAATGTGTGGATTTTATGACACATTCCTCCCTCAAAATTCTCAGGAGAACAATATTTTGCACTTAAACCACAGAATTCAATTAAATGCTAATTCTGTTACAGCTTCAAAAATTAAAATAGGTTTCAAATCTCAAAAAAAGAAATAGTGATATCAATTTTAAAAAATAAAGATTACTTCAGCTTATTATATTAACTCATGAGCTCACTGGTATATAAAATTTTAGGGTATGTGAAAGGCAGACACAAATAGATATAAAGGCAGTGTGTACGTACACTGGGTTAAAACAACACACAATGTGGTTTTTTCCTAACACTGCCTTAAAGTGACTTATTTTAATGCTATTGACAGTTAGATGGTCACAATTTTTCAAGTTAGACATAAGCAATAAGCAAACGAAATATTGCAGGATAGTATTGTGTCAATCAAAAATGCTGGAAGAAAACCACAGGCCACTTTTAAACGTTTGGTAAAAATTCACTTCCATTATCCCTTTCTTATCTGAGCTTTCATGTAAAGTCAGTGGGTTTTTTTTTTATAATGCCGAATATCATAATGTCCAGCATGAGAGAAATTCAGTTTTTCCCTCTGTTCTTATACTCCCTCCCCAGGGCTGCACACCTCGTGGCTCAGGGAAGAGGCAACGCCAGGGAGCCTGGCACAGCCCTGCCACAGCAACTGTCTGGGTTTGCTCTGCAACCTGCGTCACACAGCACCACCCCCTGCAACTGGGTAATACCCAAAGGCCCCGCTCCCAGAAAAGAGCCAAAATCATCACAGACTTGCTTTCCACTGGCATTTTCAGGAGCTCTTCCATCTCCCTTCAGTGGCTGCTAATGAACTTGCACTACACCACTGTCATCTCTTGTTCAGGTTCCCTTGTGTGTTTGACAGCAGCAGAAAACAGAATCATAGAACGGTTTGGGTTGGAAGGAACCTTCAAGCCCATCCAGTTCCAACCCCCCTGCCATGGGCAGGGACACCTTCCACTAGACCAGGTTGCTCCAAGCCTCATCCAGCCTGGCCTTGGACACTTCCAGGGATGGGGCATCCACAGCTTCTCTGGGCAGCCTGTCCCAGTGCCTCCCCACCCTCTCTGTGACTAACTTCTTCCGGATATCCAATCAAATCCTCCCCACTTTCAATTTAAACCCGTTACCCCTTGTCCTGTCACTACAGGCCCTTGTAAAAAGTCCCCCCCAGCTTCCTTGTAGCCCCTTCAGGCACTGGAAGGTGCTATAAGATCTCCCCGGAGCCTTCCCTTCTCCAGGCTGAACAAGCCCAACTCTCTCAGCCTGTCCCCACAGCAGAAGGGCTCCAGCCCTCGGAGCATCTTCGTGGCGTCCTCTGGACTCGCTCCAACCAGCTGATATCCTTCTTACACTGAGAGCTCCAGAGCTGGGTGCAGAACTCCAGGTGCAGTCTCAAAGAGCTGAGTAGAGGGGGGGAGAATCCCCTCCCTTGACCTGCTGGCCATGATTCTCAATTCTTTTGATGGAAAGCTATCTAGCTGTTGTTGTAGACTTCAGTGTGTTCAAACCCTTCTCTGATACTTCCCAAGACATATCATCTTTCATGGCTTCAGCCACAACTCCCTGGCCAGACTTCTCATTCAAGTTGTTCCTGAAGACAGACCAAGGTCTTTCTGAGGAAAGGGATAAAAATGCATTTGGCTAACGCTTCTGCCATTGACAAAGTTGTTTCCATGGAAACATTCACTTTCACACAGTTCCGTCTGCATCAGAAAGGCTCATGCTCTGTTCACCACCCTGTCCTAGTCACAGATCTCAAAGACATCGGAAAAGCGTAGGATGGTCACAGGCACTTTTAGCCATGACCACAGAACCAGCACAACTACCCTGAGCGGCCTGAGGCCGCTGCAGTACAAATGTCACTGTGATGAAGAAATATACACAGTGTCACCATGTACGCCATGACCCTGCCTAGACATTGGCTGTCCTCAATCATCTCCCTTGGCCACCCCGTTTAATGACAGTGTCTCCCACCTTTCTGCTCATAAAGGTTCACCTTTCTTCTCTCTTTTTTTTTAAAGTCTTTTACATTGTAAGAGTATTGAATTTATGTTTACAATTCTTTTTAGACTCTGGAAGGTTTATATGGATGATAATTATTTGAACTCATCAACTTGCTAATGATGGGCAAATCAGTGTGGGAAGGAGAACAGTCCTGTTGACTCCTTGTTGACTTTGCGTGTCATTTTGAAAAGCAAAGGAAAAATATTAGAATTCAAAAGAGAATGCTGTCTTATATTCCATAAAACAACAGTTTTATAGAAGTTGTGTCCTGTTACACAAAGGAAATGTTTTGTTGAGCTGTAGACAAACTGGAATTTCACAAGCTTTATACTTCATGTTTGTCATCAATCAGCAAAATGAAAACCAACAACTTCCAGAGATAAATAAAACAAAAAAGCACCCCAAATATTAAGAAGGCATGATATAGGAAGAGAAATTCTTTCTAAAACTTCCAGTAAAGGTGGCCATTAGCTAGCTCATCAGCCCACGGACCAAGCTTCAGCAGGGCGAGCAAGCACCATAAAACAGTATTTTAAAATAATTTTCATTCTGGGAAGAGTGAGAAAAGGAAAATACAGATTTTCAAGCTTCCCAATGGAGCATTTGTCACTTGTCCCAGTCAGTGGGTAGGGATTCCCTATTACATCCCACAGGCAATGTTACCCTCTCACCTCAAGAAAATGAAGTGAGGCACCATGCAGAGTGCTGTGAGGATGTTAATATTATGTGGTATTTTTTCCATATTCTGTTATAACAGCAATGCACAGATGGACCAATCTAAAGCAATGTAAAATGAAAATGAGATTGAGACAGGTAGGCAGACATTTCCCATGACAGAAAGCATACGAGTTGCTGCCCTGTCAAAAGAACTACAATCTCTTCAGATAGGCCCATGTTTCGTCTGAATCCAGGTTCACGTTCAATGCAAGAAAGAGTTTAAATTGTTCAATGGATTGGCTTAAGTGGAGGCAAAACAGCATATTTTGTTTCTTCTTAAAAATTCATTTGAATTTCATTCAGTATTAGTCTGCCTATGATTTTATTTTATAACTGGTTACCAAAGGTTATGCAACACCATCAAATATCACTTTCAAGTACAACTACACCTCACCAACACCAATGGCAAAAATCAAGCTTAATATGTCAGTTTTAAAATGTTTATGACTCTTTAAAAACGACACCTACCAATTAACTGTAAGTATTCTTGGAAGCACTTTATAATATACTAATCTTAAACTGAAAGAGAATCTACCACATTTATACAACTGCTCAAAGGAAGACAGAAAAAGTGCAAACGATCTTTACAATATGTTCAAAAAATGGATTAAAATATATTCACTAACTTGATTTATTCTCTCTGTGTAAAACATGGCAAAACCTTCAAGGGAAATAATTATAAGAACAGAGGTAAAACAGTGACCATTGAAAAAAATACTGTGCTGTGGGAAAACACAAACACTTTTTCCCTGCCTGTGCTGCTGCGCTTTTCAGACTAATCTCAGAATCTCAGATGTCATACCTTCCCCAAGGGAGAAGAAACATTTTAAATGCATTAAAAAAAATTTGCAGAAGTAAATTCTAATTTTGTAAAGCATTGTTCATGGTTTCCACTGTCCCCCAGGTATTCTACTATGTCCAGTTATATGAGGTAATAAAAATAAATAACATTTCTTCAGTTAAAAAAACAAATGACTTCATTATCTTTGAATGCCTAAATCAGACACCTGCTGAATTAACAGTCACATATTCAAAATTCAGTGAGAAAGCGACAAAAGATTCCTGATTATATATAAAGGATTAAAGAATCATAAATATACTACAAGAGCTATGCACAGCGATGTGCTTATTCTGCTTGTGAATGGAGAAGGAAGAAAGAAGGGTCTTCAAGGAGAGTAGCCAAAGGAAACTGAAGCGAACGTAAAAAGCATTTCAGGGCTATATTTAGAGGAACACATTCTTCATACATTTGCCAAGCTATTCACGTCACTTCACACAGCATGTTTTATCCAGCTTTATAAGTCTATGAGAGAGCAGGAGGGGAAAAAAATCTCAATCAGTTGCCAGAAATGGAAAACTTGCATTTGTGTGGAGGAACAAATATTTTAAGCATGTGAATTCAAGAGCAGTTTCCAGAGTTGATGGGGGGTGGGGAGGGAGGAGGTTGTTAAAACTTTCTACAGCTATCACAGAAGGATGCTGCAGTATATTGTTTCTAGTAACATGACCGAGCCTCTCTTATTATCTTTTAAGCTAGGCTCCCTAGCCTTAGCTATATCACTAAAAATACTAAAACAAGTGAATTTCACTAAGTTCAAGTCTTCAGGTGGTATGAAGGGGTTGAAGTCCTTGTTCATGGATACAGGATACATCCGTTATATAAGCCATTGCATATTTCTCCTCTAGAACGTGGTAAACAACAATCTGACATGAATAAAGAAACACAAGCTCAAAGGTGAAAACAGAAACAAAAATACTCCAGTTTTATAAGAATATTATGATTTTTCTTTGACTGGTTTAGCACATCACGAGGTTCAGCCATTTGCATAAAGAAATGTCAAGCATACAAAAAATATGTCAGTACCAGATGTAATGGCAATAGGAACAAACCACATGGAAATTTCTTGTTAGTGACCTTCTGGAGGGTGACGATAGAATCAGTTTGAGATACAGGACTGGTTTTACTTAAATTTATACACATGACTTCTAGAAAAAGTTTTTACCTTCATTCCCTTCTCCAGGTGGCTGATAAAACGAGAGCCCCAAAGATATGATGGCTGCAATTTCCAAGATTATAAGAGTCACATCCTGCAACGCTTCCCAGACTAGCTGTAAGAATGTTTTTGGCTTCTTTGGAGGTATAAAATTTTTTCCAAAAATAAGCTTTCTTTTTTCTAGGTCTGCAGCAGTGCCAGCTAATCCTGTAAATAAAATAAAATAAAATAAATTAAAATTGCAGTGAAATAGAAAATGCCCACTTATATCTGCATTCCTAACAATTAATTCTCCAGGAGCAACCACAGCTGTACCACTTACGGCATATTAACAGATAGGCAGATTTTCCACTTAAATTTTGCTTTTGCCCTATGATTTGTCCTTACGTTCTGAACAGAATCCTTACAGTCTCTCTTCAGTACTAATTTCTGCAGGTTTCAAATCATAACGAGTCTTTGAATTAGCAGCTTTACTTGAATAAGACCAATGCCTACAGATACTATACATACATACATGTAAGCAATTACTTCTGTAAACAGATCATAAAGCACAAATAAATTGTATTTGGGATGAAGCTGGAATAGCTGTTGGCAGTAGAAGCAGCATACACATCTTTGTTCTGACCTCAGGTCAAGTGACCTCAAAGTATAAATCAATAAAGTATGTCTTGTTCTACTTCAAAGCAACCTCTCTTGCTGCGTATGTACTGCCACACAGTCACTGGAACGAATGGCATCAAATATTTGTTAAGTCAAAGAGACAGTCAAAGTGACAGGTCATATATGCAAAAAGGAAACTATATGGTTCCTTAAATCGATATAAAAATGCATGTATTTTGCATGATAATCCAACTCAAGAACATTTCAATTTAAGGATACAGTGTCAGAATATGTGGTTGCACTGAAGGACCCACTTAGGTGCTTTTTTACTTCCTATTTTTTAATTATATTAATGTATGCGTGTCTAGCCCCTTTGGAAAACAAAAGAGGGGGAAAAAAATTGCATATATTGGGGTGTAACAACTGTACCCATGTACTGCTCACAGCAGCATAAAGAACTGCAGTAAAATAAGTGGTTACATATATCTGCCAAATTATATTTGATAGAAGTCGGAACATTTCCACAACTGCAGGTTTTGAATGCGATCAGCAACGTGAAGTTACTCATGCTTATTCATACAAACATGACACAACAGAAACACATAAATTGAGAGTTGACCTCAGAGGAATACAAAGGTGCCTGCAAGAGAGCAAGAGGAAAGGGTTGATCCCATGCCGTGAGGATTCCTCCCTGCACACCTCTCATAGAATCATAGAATGGTTTGGGTTGGAAGGGACCTTAAAGATCATCTAGTTCCAACCCCCCTGCCATGGGCAGGGACACCTTTCACTAGACCAGGTTGCTCCAAGCCACTTCCAGCCTGGCCTTGAAGACATCCAGGTATGGGGCATCCACAGCTTCTCTGGGCAACCTGTTCCAGTGCCTCACCACCCTCTCTGGGAAGAATTTCTTCCTGATATCTAATCTAAACCTCCCTGATTTCAATTTATACCCATTACCCCTTGTCCTATCACTACAGGCTCTTCTAAAAAGTCCTCTCCCAGTACCCTTGTAGGCGCCCTTCAGATACTGGAAAGCTGCAATGAGGTCTCCTCGGAGCCTCCTCTTCTCCAGGCTGAACAAGCCCAATTCTTGCAGCCTTTCGTCATAGCAGAGGGGCTCCAGCCCTCTGAGCATCTCCGTGGCCTCCTCTGGACTCGCTCCAAGTGGTCAATATCCTTCTGATGTTGAGGGCTCCACAGTTGGAGGAGTTGAGTACTATGAGTACCCTCATAGTCTAGGGTAAGTCCTTGCTTCCCCCAAAGCGTATCAGCGTCCATGGGGCACCTCAGGAAAAGAAAGCCCTAGCAATAGCATCTTCAAGATGCCCAAGCAAAAGAAATCAGGATCCTAATGTGCTAATGGCACTCAGCATTAAGTTGTGTTCACTCAGGACTGGTGCAACTGGTCCCTGCAGCCTGTGAGTCGCCTCCCAGCTGAAAGCACCAGGCCCAAGCGTAATTTCCTCAGTATGAAAGCGATGCTTCTCTGAACTTATCAATCCTGCCACAGTACAAGCAAAGACGTTGACTCCCCTTTCACTTAAGGTATATAATTACAGCTGGTGCGCAGCTTCTGGCTCTTGGCTAACTCATCAAATTTTCATTGCACCTTCAGCGTCTACGAAACACTATCCTTCTCTCCCAGACAAAGGCAGCTGCAGTTATGATTACCTCACCTCATTTAATTTTCAGTACCTAGTGCTGAGTGAGACTGCAACAGACAGGTCCCAGCTATTATGAATTGTGTCTACGTCTGTCTTTGTAATTCAAACAACACATCAAACCCCTCCACCCTGCCATGAGCTGCCCATCAGCTTCCAGCATGCGGACCCCGCTTTCCCCTACGACATGCGGATTACAGGCAATGAGCCATGTGGGTAGCTGCCCGTTTGTGAACCAACGGAGATCACAGAAGTTAGGACAACCGCTTCGAAGAGACCAAGGCAGTCACTCACCACCGGTGGGACAAGCCTTCAGCAGCGGCCAAACAAACACTGCTTGGTCAGCTTTCAGAGGGCTCCAAAGCCCTTCAACACAAGGAAGGACTTCCACTTGAAATGGCACGCACAATGTGCACTGGTCCCCTAAAACACAACCTGCTCCAAACACAGCCGTGACTTCGTTGGGGGGGAGGTACGCTGCCTGCACTGGCAGCGACAGGGGGCTCGGGCAGGAATGTTCATATAAGGCATCTAGAAGCAGCAACACCAAACTCTGAAAGAAAAAACCCAAAAGTACATTGGAAAGGGGAAGGAAGAGATGTCCGAGAGCCGCATATTTTCCAACACAGAACACACGTGGTGGCAGTGGGCCAGCTTGGGCAGGTAAGCAGATGACTGGGTACTCAACAGCACCAAAGGGATGGCTGAAATAGTACAGGAAATAGCTGCTCTATTTTTCAACAGTCCAATTTATTAACCTAGACAGCATGAATTCACAACTTTGAAATTATGCTATACACTTTACTGTCAGGAGACCATACAAAATACACATATCCTCTCCTATGTTACTGATCGTAACACACATATTAATACACGTACGTACTGAGAAGCCTCCAAAGGAAAGAGAGATACTGACATGCAAAGAGCTGCTTTTCCTCTAAGGCAATATTTTTTTTTTCACTTAGACACCATAAAATTTAGATGCAATAAGGTTGAGGACTAGATGGAGTTTCAAGCCTCTGTGCTCACTGCTATCTTCCAGACTATAGTCTAATCAACCTGTGTTGGAATTTAGACATGGATTTTATTTAACTGCACTCTTCCACTATTCATAAAATATATTATCTTCCTTAAGACCCATAAATAGAGAAGGGTAATTCATGTGTGTGATTTTATTTTTTTCTGTAAGCCTATGTCTTGGTGAAATTACAGTGTCAGTCTCGCCTGAAACAAAAGGATCATATTCAACTTTATTTATGTAATTTTTTTTCATTTAGAAATACTGGAAAATGGAATTTAATGTTCAGTTCAACCCAAAAGGTCTCCCTTCTCCTCAGATTTGGTCATCACTCAAAAAGAAACCCTATTCAGCAAAATTTTGTGGTATCCCCTCCCCCCAAAATGAACAAACTCCTGTATTTAGAAAGGAAAGGAGAGAATGAAGAAACCTTCAGACCAATTGATGAAATCACATCATAACAGTCTTAAGCGTTACTGTAAAGTCAGAAAGGGACAATAAAACGCATAGAGAAGCCAGTGTTATACAAACAGAAGCAGCTAAGGGAAATGCGATTGAGAATCTCAGGCAGCACAAGGTGTTTTGCAAAAGTTTCCATACGTTCTCCATGCTATTGCCAGCAGAATCCTTTTTTTCTTTCAAATAACCTGCTTTATTCAAACCAGCATTTTAAATAGTCCTAAAGGTGTTTAGAGCAAACCTAACTTGGTAGCTTGGAGAGGATTAGAGGTCGGTCACACTTCTGTTGCACAGGCAGATCTGCGGGATGCAGCTTCCCAGGCAGTGCAGATGGCAACAACGTCAATTAGCACAGCGAGATCGGGAAGTGGACATCTGTCCTCACCAGTACTTTTAACCAGGAGATGGCTTTCCTGCTGCTAGATTTTTTAATGTTTTTTTCATGCAGCACATGCTGATTTCATTGCTGTTTCTGAATGGTGTTTTTATTGCTCACTTGTCCCTTAACTATTGAGTCCTGTGACAATAATGAAAGAGCATTGCAAATGAAAGTTATTTAAAGCAATATTTCTAGATGATGATACACAACATCTAAGGAAGTGAAAAAGAACCAGTGAGGACTCAAGAAACCATGAATGGAAATACCAGTTCAACATGACTTCAGACCTCACATGTTACTGGCAAAAGCAGCAGCCTTCTTTCTTATGTCCTACATGACAATAAGCCACAGACTGGCTGCTTTCGTGTTTGTGTGCCCACACAGGCATGAATATTTTATTTTTTTTAAGTGCTTTTCTATGTCAAAGCTCTGTCTTGCTACTTTGTTTGACCCAAGTCTTGTAGAATGATGATGCAGATTTGGATTAAATTTATATACAAATCACACACACAGGTTTAGGAAATACTGTGAAAATTTATTACTGCTACATCCAGCACTTGAATAATTTCTTAGTTTCAGTTTCCAAAAATTTTCCCCAAAATTTGCTTGAAATTTTTGGGAGAAGTGGTTGAATAGAAAACATTTTCTACAATGTTGTGCAGTATATTAAATGCATTTCTGATTTCATCTGGCAGGCCTTTATACAGACGTTGCTTTAATTGTTGCATTTTGGGAGGAAGAAAAAGATTTTAAAACTGAAGAAATGCGACTTAATTAATTTTCTCTGTTCCTTATCTACATCTGTCAGTTACTGCATGCTGAATATAAACCGATCATTTCAATTAATTCTTCCTGGAAAACCGTATTTCTCTGACAGTCAACTCCACTGCAATCAAATGGAGCATGACAAACAGAGAATGATTTTGATGCTGCAAAAATAGCAAAAGCACTTTGCTACTAAAGCAACAATTTAAAAACCCCGTTAAACTTTTAAGAGAATGTTTCACATCTGCTTAAATTATGAGATGAAGAATGGAGAAAATTTGCACTAATTGTGCAAATAAAGAATTCATTAATTACTG